TCCGCGTTACTCGTTGAGAGCGGACGCTGCTGTTGTGGCAGCTCTGTCGCAGGCTCCTCATCCAGTAACGTGCTCCACCCCCGACTTCGGATTTGGTCTACGTGTCGCTTCCAAAAACGTCCGTCGATGGTGCGAACCTTGTACGACACTGGGGCCTGCTAGATAATTGCGGATGAAGACGGTGTCTTGCGGTTCAAATTCGCGCACACCTTGTCTTCCGCGCAGCCCTTGTTTTTCTTGCTTGTCTACCATCTCTGTTTGTAGGTCTGGGTGAAGCCGATCCAGCGCTGTATGGAGTCTTCGACCCATCAACAATTCTGCGGGACTCTTTCCGGTCGTAGAGTGCGGCAGAATGTGTTGGCTCAAAAGGAAACGTGCTAGCTTGGTGGCCATGTCACCTCTTTCTATGCGCCTAAGGACCTGTTTAGTCTCTTGGACCATACGCTCTACTTGACCGTTAGATGATGGATGGTACGGCACCACCTTGACGTGCCGGATTTGGTTCCTCAGCGTGAATTCTTCAAATTCTTGCGAGACGAACGCCGTTCCATTGTCGGAGGCTATAGTGCCCGGAACACCATTTGTTGCAAACAACACTTGAAGCTTTTGACAAACTGTTGCTGAAGTCATGGATGCCATCTGGATGACTTCCAGCCATTTCGAGTGTGCGTCCACCACCAAAAGGAAAACTTTTCTTTGAAATGACCCTGCAAAATCTATATGGATCCGGGACCAAGGGTTTCTGGCCAAGTCCCACGGATGCAGCCTTGCGCGTGCAGGTTCCGACCTAGTCTCCTGGCAGGGTAGGCATGTTCGGAGCTTCCTTTCGATATCTTGATCGATGCCTGGCCACCAAATTGTGCTTCTAGCCAGCGCCTTCATGCGGATGATCCCGGGATGCATGGTGTGCAACAACTCCAAGACCTGGTCTCTGGCTTGCCCCGGAATGATAACTCTACTCCCCCAGATTAGGCAACCTCGATATTCTGAGAACTCATGCTGCCGTCGAACGAAGGGCTTGAACTCGTCCGGCAGTTCCTTTTGAGGCCATCCGACTACCGTCCAATGTAGAACTCTGGCCAAGGTTGGGTCATTGCGGGTGCATTGTGCAATCTTTTGGGCATCCAAAGGAATCTCCGGCGCAGTCTCCAGCATCCGGACTTCAAAAAGTTTCTGGTCAGGTGGGCTGTTCTTCTCAGTTAGAGGCAGTCGACTTGGTGCATCTGCGTTCCTGAGCTTGTGAGCAGGCTTGTACTCCAACTCGTTGTCGTAAGCAGATAGCATTAACGACCAACGCAACATCCTCGGTGACAGGACCTGAGGCATTGGTTTTGTGTGATGCAAGAGTCCCAGTAGAGTTTTGTGATCTGTCACAATCCGAAAATGCCGGCCATAGACGAACTTGTGGAACTTCCGTATTCCGAAACCTATTGTTAAGGCTTCACGGTCTGTCTGTGCGTAGTTCCGTTCGGCAGGTGTCATTGTTCGAGATCCATATGCTACCGGAACCTCTCGGCCTTCGCTGTCGACGTGGCTCAGCACCACCCCAACTTCATAAGGAGAGGCATCACAGGCCATAACTAGTGGCTTGTAGACACTGTAGTGGCCATGGACGTCCGAAGACTGCAGTAACTTCTTGGCCCGCTCGAAGGCTTGTGCTTCCCGCGTTGTCCATTTCCACTTACGGCCGTCATCCAGCAGCCCGTGCTAGGGCTCCAAAATGTATGACACTCCCCACAGGAAAGTGTTGTAGAAGTTAAGTGCTCCTAGGAATGCTTGCAACTCCTTCTTACACTTCGGCTCGGGTGCTTCATGGATAGCCTTTACTTTGTCATCCGTCGGCTGTATTCCTGCCATTTGTCACGCTTCAGCCGGACACCGTCGTCTTTAATTCGTTGAAGCACTGCTTGCAGACGGGTAATGTGCTCGGCTTCATCTTTACCGCCTACAAGGATGTCATCTAGAAACACTTGCACCCCTTCCAGTCCTTGCAGCAGCTGTTCCATGTATCTTTGAAAAATAGCGACGGCAACAGCTACTCCGAACGGCAGGCGCGTGACCCGGAAAAGTCCACGGTGTGGGGTGATAGTGAGAAGGTCAGCTGTCTGTCTCACTATCGACGGTCACTTGCAGGTACGCTTGGTCTAAATCAAGCTTGGAAAACTTGGCACAGCCTGCCAGTTTCGCAAAAAGTTCCTCCGTTGTGGGCAGGGGGTAGCTTTCCCAACGAACGACGAGGTTCACAGTACTCTTGTGATCGCCACAAATTCGCACTGGGCCATCCTTCTTAATCACAGGTACTGTTGGAGTGGCCCAACGGGAATGTCGTACGGGTTCCAAAATGCCTTAATTTGTGAGCTTGTCCAAGGCTTCATCCACTCTTGGTAGTAAGGAAAAGGGAACTGGACGCGGTTTGAGGAATTTGGGCTGAGCGGTCGGTTCCACTTCGACGCGGACTGGTGGTCCTTTGCTTTTTCCCAGACCCGGTTGGACGACTTCGGCGTGACTTCGCAGCACTGCTGCTGTGGACGGACTCTGGCTCTTCGATTCTCCTTGCAGTTGATTGACTTTTAACTCAATCCCGAGAGCCCTAAAACAGTCTCGGCCCAGCAAGCCTACGCCTGCTCCCTTGATCACGACAAGGCGCAGTCGCTCTTGGCGTCCTTTGTAGGTGACCTGGACCATCACAGAACCTAGCACCTTCCATTCCTGCTGGTTGTACGTGAGAAGACGCAGTTCACAAGGGCATAGCTTGTGCTTGGACAACCGCAGCTGGCGCATAGTTCTCTCGTTGATCACGGAACACACGGCTCCCGAGTCGACTTCCATCTCGAGAGGGTTTCCGTTAACCTCGACGACGACCCGGACAGCAAGCTCCTCGGCAGTCACTCGGAAGATGCCGAACATGTCCGCCGTGTCACCGTCGTGCCGCCGACCGCCTTGGCCTGGGCGTTTGTCGCTTGTCGGTGTAGGTGTCGGTGACGACTGCTTCGCGTTCCGTCGACAAACCTTCACGGCGTGGCCCCGCTGCTTGTAGAAATGACACTGGGCTTGTCGAAAACGACACTCGTTAGGGGTGTGTGTCCCTCCACAGCGAAAACACTTGCTTTCCTTTAGCTGTGACTTCGGCGCAGCTGCTTCTCTTGATGCTGAGGAGTTCACCTTAGTGTTCGGAGTCCTGTGCTTACCGATTCGGCACACATCGCTGCTCTCGGCGGGCGCCACTCCCCGAATCTTCTCCGTCTGACGGTGGGCGTACTCTGCTGCAATCGCCTTCTCCTTGGCTACCGAGAAGGTTAATTCGGGCTCGGACAGAAGCCGTCGCTAAAGGGACTCTTCCCGGAGGCCGCAGACAAACCTGTCTCGGAGCATGTCATCCAAAGTCGGCCAGAAAGCGCAGTGTTCCGACAACCGACGGAGCTCGGCAATGTAGTTGGCGATACTCTCCCCTCGACGCTGTTCGCGTTTTCCAAACTGGAAACGCTGGACGATGACAGACGGCCTTGGGTTAAAGTGGGCCGCCAGTCTGGAGACGGTGTCGTCGTAGCTCGTCTCGAAGGGTAAAGCTGGTGAGCAGAGCGAACGGATAATCGCGTACGTCGCCGCCCCGCAGACCGTGCAAAGTATTGCACGCTTCTTCTTGGCTGACTTTACCTCGTTTGCGATAAAGTAGAACTCGAGGCGTTCGCGGTAAAGTGGCCATGCTGCACCGTTGCTCGATTCGAACTCACCGATGCAGCCAAATGCCGGCGCCCCTGGTGCCGCCGTTTCCGCATTGGCACCGTGAACAGCGGGCTGGTAGGTTCTTCACCTCGTCCCCAATGTAATGTATTTAAACTTTATGTACATTATTTACATAGCAAGCGTAGCGGTCCATAGCCGATCTGGCTGGGCTGGATCCACGAGAGTCCGTTCCAGAGCCCGAGTGCGAGCGCGTGCTCGTGTCCCGCTTCGTGGCAGTCTTCACTGTTGCCAGCACATAACAATCTCGTCCGTAGGAGTTTGAACGGCCGATACAACCGGAGTCGAAGTCTCCATCAGCTTGTCGGCGAGCTCTGCCAGCTGTTCAATCCCGAGGTCTCCAACGGACGCCAAGATCATGCGCACGTTGTGGGGCAGATTCTGGACGAACAGGTTCTACAGGAACGAAGCGTCTATTGTAGATGCCTTCTTACCCATCAGCTGCTGCATGCGCCGCAAGAACTGGTTAGGTCGGCGGTCACCAAGTTCCTCGGTGGTCCGGAGTTGTTGTAACCGTCTTTCCTCAGAACCCAGACAACACAAAACGTCCTCAGGATGTCCTCAAATGGTCCAAACGTCCTAGATCCATATGGGACGTACTCACGATGTCCACAGGACGACACACCTATTGTGATCCCCACAATGTCCATTAAAGGATTTCTTCTGGATCATATTAAAATAATCGAAGTCGCACACGACGCGACTTCCGAGTCGGTATCACAACTGTGCAAATAAAAATTATTATTATTAATATTATTATTCTATTATATTAGTGCAACTAAGATCTAATGCTGACGGATTGTCAACCGTTAATTACGCGTGCCCCGAATTTTTAATATTTCCAGGAGCGTACGAACTCAAACGTACGCGCATGTACTCACGCGGGTACGAAACAGACGTAAAATGGGATCAAACATGTAGGCAAATAGTTATTACGGATTGAAATACTGCACGATTGGTTATTTTTAACTAAATATTTTAATACGTGTTTTCTTTCACTGTTTTGTGTTGAAAAGTCAGAAAGACTCCGATAGACCATTTGCTATATTACCCAAGCATCAAGGAGAACTGAGCTTGTCGAGCCGCAGCCTTAGGGTAGGTAGCGCAAGCTACCGCCGGCTACAAAGAGTATACTCAGTAACATCTATCTATCCAGCCAAAGTCAAGCCACTGTCTAGCCACCATCCCACCCGCTAAGCCCGGATAATTCTTTTCGGTGTTCGCGGTGTTCGCATCGTTTTTTCGTTTTTTTTCGCCAGTTTCCTTTACAGATTTGTTTACATTCAAGTCCGCCGCACATTAAGTATTATTTTTCAATCGGTGGGGATGGCGTCGGAAGCGGCAGATGACTCGGAACGTGGTGAGTGTTCTGTTTCTCGCACTGCACCATTCACATAGCCACTGTAGCTCAATGATGTCGGCAAGTGCAGAGCGCCGGTTTCAGCGCAAGATAATCCGGCGCGTAAATGAGTGTATCGAGCTAAGTTCACCCAAACATTCAATTTGTTCCACTGCTGTTGAATATCAACGCGTCTCTAGAAGCAACGGTGTTTTCTGCATGCGATAGCACTCGACCGGACCATTTGATCGCAAGCGCAAGTTCACTGCAAGGCACCACCTTTGGCTGCCAATCACGGTCAGTAGTTAGTGATGATCAGCCTACTGGGGACGGCGCTGGTTCTTATGACCGCCACGAAAGTGCGCCTGTGCATAACGATATCGCACTGAGCGAATAACCGTGCGACATATAGGACCACGTGTTGCCTTTCCGCTGGCAACTGCAAAGGTGGGTGGTCGAATCGGGCAGCTCTCACAATGCAGTGTACAAGCTTTTGATCCTGTTGCGCACTCATTTGTGCTTTTCTTCTCTGCCTTGATCAGCGAGACCGTTGCTCGAGACGCTTAGAAAGGCCTTGGGAATCGAACGTATTGGCGGCGGAGAATACTGCCACTTCGGTATCGTAGAAGGTGGTCTGGATGCCGTGGGAGAGTCAAGGCATCTGCCCCGGGAGCTTGCTCTCGATTGCTCCAGAACCCAATTTCGAACAAATACTAGGAAAAGTGAAAAACCTGAAAAATAACGCTCCTTTCGTTGTCGGTGTCTTTCGTGGTGACAGAAAGCCCGATGATGCTAATGAGTTCCTTCGTCGTTTTGTGGATAAACTGAGAGGTTATTACCTCGGGCATCAGTCTTGGCGCAGAACCATCCCTCTCAGGCTAAATGCACTTGTTGGCGACGCACCAGCAAAGGCATTCATCCTCAACATCAGGAGCCACCTGGGTACTGCAGTTGTACCAAATGCACCGTGAAGGTGCATTTAGTACAACTTGTATCTTCGTATGAAAATGATTACATCAATATGGTTCTGCATTTTGGTTTAAACAGATAACTATGCTGAATTCCGTTTTTAGAAATTCGGTTTTAATGAGAAAAGGCCGGTATTTTAAAGCAGTATCATGTGTCTGGTGGGAGGTTGGAAAGCTCTCCATATTGTGACATCATGTACTTTCCTATCAGCTTGTCCCCTGACCTATTTAATCAGTTTGTTATGTTGGAGGACAGTTCAGTAATCAATATACATCTTGCAAATAAAAGTCTCTGCTTTTCAGTGAGCTTTTTATTTGCAAGATGCATAACAGCATAACCTCACTAAAATTAAAGAAAAAAAAGAGAACTCCTTGAAACATTGTGTGAATAAATGCCTCCGCTGCTATTCACACTTTTATATCACACTTATCCTATAGGAAGATTCTGCTGTTTAACTTGACTTTTGTCCTCTATTCTTTTCAGAGCTGCATACTTGTGTATGAAATCATAATTTTATTTTTACAGCTGCAGGAACTCTCGGGTCTGGGAGGGGACAGTGTAAGTCTTGCTACACGACAGGCCCTCGAAGCACTTGTGGTGCAGAAAGTAGCTGTGGAGTACAGCTGGGTTAGACGGAAAGGAAAGCGCCAGTTCACTTCGCTTGCAGTCTGCAAGCTGATATGCAGTGAGTAAGCTATTTCAGCTTAAGTAATAAACGTTTCTTGTTGCGCCGGCTGTACTTGGAAAAGTTTTCTAGCTTAATGACATTTTCAAAGCCGCAGCTAGCCATTGTTCCTGCCTACAAACGTAAGAGTGAAAAGTAGTCACACTATAACACATATGCAGTGGATAGGATGAATTTGCACATCATACTTAGCCAAACTGGAATTTGTTTTTAAAAACTTGTAGGAACACTGATCAGTATTGGCGATGACCTTGTGGCCCTCTTTCGTTTTCTCTCTCCCAGCACCTGCACCCTCTGTCTAATGCCGCCCCATGTCAACTGACCCCCCTTTGGGTGATACGGATGTCTTATCGTCCCCATTTGTCCTCCCAACGAGTGAAATGCTAGGTGGTGCTGGGAATGAGTTTCTAGTGACCGAAAGGATGAGCGGTGGTAGCTGGGGGCTTTCAGGTCAAGCCCGACATGCTGGTTGACTGGGCTGGGAACTCTAGCAGTCCTATAGGCTGCTCTTTCATTCAGCCGTAGAAGGATGAAGGCGACATATACCTTAAGAACTCCAAAATCACTAGCACATCCCATCCCCCAAGTTTAATATAAATACAGTTCTGGGAACAAGTGTTCATTTATTATTATGATTGCTGCTGCATGCACTGGGTTGGTAGGCATTTGCCAAGCATGATGTCATTGAGAGTTACTGCACATAATTGCCTTTATCCTCATGTGGTTGCATGGAACATCGGCAGGCATTGTTCGCACCCACAGCCCTGACTCCGAACTCGCACCAGGTTTGGAGTGAAAGCCCCAGCTTTTTTGTCACTTTGACTCACTTGTAGCCAGTACTATCCTGATCATCAAACGTTTTCCTCTGACGTGACAGATAGGTATTATGAGATTTTGTCGTCAAATGTGCCATATGAAATCGAGTAGCACCGGACAACAGGAGATCGGTACGAGGCCATCAGTAACACCAATCAGGGTTCCTATAACTACACTTGAAAATGATCTCCAGGTTTATACTTTGAGCATTGTTACTTAGAATTACATAGTTGCAATGTATTTGAAATTACGCTTTTCTAAAAGGTTATGCAATACCATTCCAGAAAGTGTGAGAAAAGTGCTTCCATCTGCAAAGAAAAGTGAAATCGAACAGGTGATCAAAACTTGGGTTCGTCATGCAGCAGAAAATCTTAAGGAGTTCCAGCAGACGCAGTTGCCAGAAGAGTGGTGAGCATATGTACATTTTCTATAAGTGATCTATCTATTGTTCAGTATAACATACCGGGTGTTTCAGCTAACTTGTGCCAAGGGTTAAAAAGAAACTGGTGCATGCTACGTATGACAAACCAACACAGTACCTTTTCCTAGAGTAACTATGTAGGCTTTGCTCGCAGAACCAGAGTATTGCATTCCTTTCCTTTCGCTGCCAACTCCGTATTGGTGGAGGAGTGATCACATGCGCAAAACTGAATCCAAAGTTCATGGGAGAAAGCGGCCTTGCGGTGCGCCGAGTTTCGATCGGAACATATTTCCCGCTTTCGGTTCACGAAATATAAATCCATGACTGAAATCGAACAAACTGAAGGCTTCCTAAACCATTGAACGTTATCTGTAGCAACTGCGTATAATAAAATTGCGTTTTTCTTATAACGCAAGCGATGTTTTAAAACACCGCAGACGACACAGATGACACAGATGACGATCGCGTCTGAGGGTCTCGCAGAGCGATACATTCTTTTTGCTCCCAAGAGGGGCGAGGGGAGACGAACGACGGGACGACGGCGTGTGCACAGCTCATCGCCACACTGTTTTCTTTACGCAGCGTGCCACAGCACTACGCCTCGCGGTTGCGCCGCCGAGCCTCTGTCTCCTACATAACCGGCGCAATGCCTTCCGCAGTGCTTGCATCCAAAATAGGCACCATTGCGATACTCTGCTATGCAAGCGTAGCATACACAGTTGCCCTACCTGGATGGATGGATGGATGAATCCGACTGAGCCCTTAGGATCAAGCGGTAGCTTATGCCACCTAGCCATTTTGTTTTACCATTTAAGCTTAGAATATTTAAATGTATAAACTATATTCACTCCGCACTGAAAAGAAAGTGAGGCTATGAAACCCCCTTGCCATCAGTTAATAGAAAATACCTAGTTTTCTCTTGCTTTCTGCCACCATTCACTTAATCTTTGCTTGGTAATCTCTACTTTCTTGAAATCCACTCTTCCTTAGCTGTCTCTAAATCCCAATAACTTTATTAAATCTACCTTAAAACAAAATGCACTCTGGGTACCAGTTTGCCGCTTAGTTTTGATTTCGTTTTCAAATTTTGCTTTGCTCATCATGTCGTGAGACTCGTGACGGAACACGCTGCTTGTGTTTTAATTGCTCCAACCTCCCACAAGTGTACAATACTGTAGGTGTTGACGAGCGATACTGAAAAAAAAGATGCTGGGCACCGTTTTACTGGTTTCCGACGTGTCAAATTTGGCGCAAAAGTAGGCAAATGTAGAACAATAGATTGCAAGCACATCCTCATGCACGTGAAAGCAACTGCAGCAGCCTTGCAAATTGCAAGTGCTTCACCGCATGAGCAGAAACGGGCTAAAATAGTAAGGGTGCAGGCGAGCTGGTGGTTGTTAACCATGTTGAATATATCTGAGACTGGGGTAGAAAGGAACATAAAAGTCTAAGAAACAGAAATGGACAGGACGACGTCTCAAACGGGCTGTTTGATTGAAACCCAAACCATGGCACACCGTCCCGTGGCCAACTAGTTCCCAGAGTGCTACGCGCGGAACGTTGCATGGAAGGATTTTTAAAAGTGGCCTATTCGCAACTTTTACGACTTATAGGGGGCGCACTGGTTCCGATCAAAATGGCTGTCATCTGGATGATCGTCCTTGAACAGGAGTACGAGGCTGGGTCTGCGACGCGTAAGTAATTCTAGTTTTGTTATATACGACCTCTATTAAAGCCTTACTTTATTTTTTTTATGCCAAAAAGGGGAGGGCAAGCACCTTTATTCTGAAGCCTATCATCCAGGAGCTAGAGAGCGCAATTCTCACACCGCGGTGTCACTATCGCTGAAAGTTGCGAATACATCATTGTCATGATATTTTTTGCAGTTTTTCTGGCCAATTAACAAAGGTGAATTAATTTTTGAAATATTTTTTGTGCACCAATGCTCCAATAAGTTTTAGGGCCTCTTGAGAAACATTCAATCATATCGTTTTCATCGAGATAACCTCTGCGTGTCTCCTGCATGGATTGCATGCCTTTAGAGTAAATGGGAACATGAAGGTTATTTTCTGATGCAGTAGCTTCGGACTCACAATTGTCAGTTATCTTATTTTTTCCAGGGCCCTTCTCCCCGCAGGGGGCACCTGTGAAAGCTGGTGTTTGGAGAGTGGCGTCTCCACGGACCCCGAGCCATGCGGGTTCGCCCGCCCACGTCTGACTGTGCGTGGCTTTCCCGTGTCCGGGGAAAAGGGCATCCTGGTGGTTGAGCCGAGCGCGGGGTAGGTTTGGACCCTTCGGGGCCCCCCGGGCGAGGCAATACACCACTTCGGCCCCCGCTTCCCGTAGACGGGAGTCCTGGCTTGGCCCGACCAGGATGATGCAACCTAGTCGCCACTTCTACTATCCCCTCCTTTCTTTCACCCTTGTCTTCTTCTTCTTTTCACTCTTCTCATTTCCCTTCTTTCCTTTTTCAACTCCTTTGGCGGCAAGGGCTAACCTTGGGTGGTGACAGATACTCTCGTCCAGATCCACACTTGGTTATAGTTTCTGGGTAGCGCTAATAGAGTAATGCTTCCAGCAAAGCCATATTTGTTATGGGGTGTTACCTATTCCCTCGTTGGGCTCCGTGGTGGGCGGCGCGCCACAGATTCCGAACACTCCTTGCCCTCTTATGGCGACCCTCTCTTCCAAACCCCGTTCGGGGCAAGCCGTTAAAAGGCGCTGCCCTGAACACAAGACTATTGAAAAAGAACCAGAGGTAGAAAACTTCACAAAGTTTTTCGTTGTTCATTCTCTCGATGAACAGAAACCTGTTTCAAAGCTTTCACCATTTGTCGTCGCCAAAGTACTTGAACACCTTGTAGGGTTTTCCTACAAGGCTAAAAAACTCCACTCAGGAGACCTCCTTGTTGAGATAAATAATAAAAAGCAAAGTGAAGCGCTTCTCAAGCTGAACACCATACTTGATGTGAAAGTGTCGGTGAGCCCTCACCGCACACTGAACACCATCCGTGGAGTCCTCTCTGAAGACGACTTCCTTCACACTAGTGAGGAGGAACTCCTCGAGGGACTCCAAGGTGCCGGCGTTGTCGCCGTAAAACGGATTATGTTCAAAAAAGATGGTGAAGAAATCCCTTCAAAACACGTCATCCTTACATTTGAACGACACACACTGCCACAAACAATCAAGGCTGGATACCTGAACTGCCACATCCGCCCTTTTGTCCCCAACCCCCAGCGGTGTTTCCGTTGCCAGCGTTTTGGTCACGGAACACGCAGCTGTCGAGGGAAGGCGACTTGTGCAAAGTGTGGCAGTCAGGATCACATCTCTGACAATTGCGAGAATGTGGCCCACTGCGTTAATTGCGATGAACCTCACCCTACCTACTATCGTGGCTGTCCCATATGGAAGCAAGAGAAGGAAATCATTGCCATTACAGCCAAAGAAAATATCAGCTATAGCGAAGCGAAGAAAAGGTACTCCTTCATGTCGAAGGGATCGTACGCCGACGTGGCACGGAGGGGTCTTGTGCCACGCTCGGAGTCTAGGGCTACCCAGGTCTCACCTGAGGTTCTGGAGGCAGCCCTCAGGGCCCCAACCCCCCAGCCGGGGCAGCAGTGCCCCCCTCTTCATGGAGGGAGTGCACATGCTGGTTCGCTGGTTCTAGACAGGCCGGCAAATGCCGCACCTGTCCGCACTTCGCGGTCTTCTCCCGGGGAGAGGGGGCGAAACTCCCACCCGACCTCCTCAGAGAGGACCTCCTCTTCGAAAGAGCGGCACAACCCTCGTGCCGCTCCCCCAGTACCCAAGGGGCCGGAGGAGGCAGAGTTGAAAGACACTCTGCCCAGCACCTCCGGTGCCTCTTCGGCTGGTCGTGGCCGGGGCAAGCCACCCCGCACAACGAGCCAGCCAAAACCTTCAGGTAAAGGCTCGCCTTCAGAAATAGAGGCGATGGATGATACCGCTGAGTCACCCACTCCTGCATCCGACGAGGGTGACATGGAGTGGCAGACTTTGAAGTCTAAAGGGAAAAAACTAGTGGTCCCTCCCAAATAACCATTAATTCCATACTCTCAATTTCTTCATTGCCTCTCTCTTTTTAATTTTACACTTCACCTTTTTAGATAAATGAAGAATTTGCATTTTATGCAGTGGAACTGTCGTGGTCTTTTACCCAATATTGATGACGTTAACTATTTTATGGATGATCTTCGGCCTATTGCCCTCTCTTTACAAGAAACTCATCTTCAAACACATCATACACAGATTTTACGACGTTATCTAGTGTTTCGCAAAGATCGTCTGAGTTCCAGTTCTGGTGGCGTAGCAGTGGTCGTGCAGAGCGGGGTTGCCTGCTCTGAGGTCTCTCTCTGCACACCGCTCGAAGCTGTAGCGGTACGCCTTCTTTTAGACCGCCTCATTACAATTGTGTCCATTTATTTGCCACCAAACGTTCCATTGCAACTTCACGAACTTCAGGGTCTTGTAGGACAGCTTCCTCAACCCTTCTTAATTTTAGGAGATTTTAATGCCCATCACCCCATGTGGGGCAGTACTCGCCTCGATTCTCGAGGCCGAGTAATTGAGCGGTTTTTATTATCATCTAACCTGTATTTTTAACGGGAGAGAGCCTACTTTTTTTAGTTCTGCTCACAACTCATTTACATATATTGACCTTTCTATTACTTCACCTTCATTACTTCCATGCTTTTCATGGAAGGTTTTTAATAATCCCTTTGGGAGCGATCACTTCCCGATTGTTTTAGAGAGTACTGTCTCTCTTCCGACTCTGTTAACACGAATGCCCCGATGGAAACTAGATAAGGCAGATTGGTCCATTTTTCAATTAGAGGCACTGATTGATTCTTCTATAATCTCAAACATGAATCCAGATGAAGCAACGCTGTATGTCACAGAGGTTATAATACATGCTGCCACACGGAGTATCCCTCAAACGTCTGGT